ACTATATAAAATTAAATAGTTAAAATTGAATTCTATTCAAAAGACTTAAATCTTAAGGTGAATAACTTTTTTTAACCTTATATATTATTCATTTTTTTTAACTATTCAATATGGGATATATTTTTTTAACAAAAAGCTCTTTCTTCTTAATGGCACCAAGTTTCTCCTTGATAGCCCCATCATTTTTAAAAAAATATATAATTGCTTTATTACCTACTCAATCATAATAGAAGTATGTATCTTATTAATTTTTACTATACTTATATATTAGACATATTTAATTATTTTACATCCCGAGCTCATTTTTAACAAGCAAAAATGGGTTTGCCAATAATTGGTCCCTGTATAGTTTTAATTTTTTTGATTAAGACCCTCTATTATTTTTCGACTTGATTAAAACCTTTTACTCATACAAAGTTATTGATTGAGACTCTTCATTATAACGTTGTTAACTATTCATCCTACATAGCAAGTTAAAACTAACGATAGCCAATCAAACAATGACATGTGGCACTATGGGTCTCAACTAATAATGTTTTTATTCAAAATTTAAAAAAAAAGATTTAAAAATATTTTTAATAATAAAATAATATCTAACATTAAAAAAAAAATGAGAAAGACTATTTGCCCCAACCCCATTATCCCACTATCAACCATTCCGCATTCTCAAACCCTTTCTCTCTCATAAAAAACTCAAAACTCTAAAATTCCTAAATCCCAAAAATTTTAAAATTCCTCAAGCTGATTTCTCTAAGGCCTAACTAAAGGTGTTTCTAACTTAGTTACACTTGGCCGCTCAAAGATTCCAATCCCAATACAATGAAGTGAGGTCTTCTTTTCTTCTCCACTTTGCTTTTCTATGTGTTTTTACGGGTCGAAATCAAAGCCGGGGGTGGCTAATTTTTTGCCTAGATCAATTGACCTCTTGAAATTGCTTCTTCATACTCTACTCCTCTTGAACTCAATTGGAAAAGATTTTGAATTTAGTAAGAGAAGACACCTAGCTGAATATTTCATATGGTTGACTTTTATAAAACTCAACGAGAAGGTAGTGGCCTTAAATCAAGCTCTCGTAGCCAATTTATAGTAAGGAGGAGACTTTGATTTAAAAGTAGAGAAGAAAGTGAGTTAGGCTAGATGAATAGTGGGATGGGTGAAGCAAGGGTTTTTTTCTTTAGTGGTTCGGATGAATAGGGAGGAAGATGAATAGTGGCGGTCTTCTTATTTACATTTTTTTAGCTACTTTTTTTTTATTGTTCGGGTAAAGAAGAAAATCCTTATATTTAAAATATTTTTAGATTTGTTTTTAAAAAATTCTAACGAGACAGATCGATATTTGATACTCATTATACCACGTGTAGTTGTCTAATTGGTTATCGTTATTTTTAAATTGTCACGTAGGATGAATTTTTAACGGTGTTATAACAAAATGTCTCAATCAATAAATTTATAAGAATAGAGGATTTCAATCAAACTAAAAAATAACGAGATGGTCTCAATAAAAAAAATTAAAACTATATAGGGACCAATTATAGGGTAAACCCAAGCAAAAATGTTTATCATTGAGAGAAATTGATGTCCTAATTAGTTTTTTTTCCCCTATAGTAAGAATGTTTTGGCAACTCCTTACTCTTAAACTCTTCGATAGACAATCCATAAAATATGCAAAGTGAGTGAGTTATTGTTCATTTGTACTTTTCCTCTAAAGAGTTTTGCTTGAAAAAAATGGTTGGTTGGGATCATGGAGCAAAGTCTTTTAGGTGTTGTTTGATAATCAAGAATAGAGTAATGGGAATGAAAATTAAAGTTTTATTCTCATGTTATAGTTGTTTGGTTAAAAAGAATGAAGTGGGAATAGAAATGAAGAGTGGGAATGAGAATTAAAATTTACACATAACTTCATTCCTATAGAAGACGTGAGAATAAAACTAAAGAATGAGAATAAATTTTTTTTTCAAAATAATAATATATTTTATTTATTTATTGTTTATTAATTATTTTTACCACCACCACTATCATCACCACTCGCAACCACTACCGCTGCCACCACCACTAGAATCATTGCTGCCATAACCACCACCACCATCACCTTTATTATTTTTATAACTATTATAGTTTGATAAAATCATTTTTTAATCATTATTTTTATTTATATAAAAAAATCAGATATTAAAAAATTTAAATTGCATTTCGATTTGACATTAGTATTCCAAACAAAGTATGAAAATACAATTAGCATTTCAATTTCTTAATTTTTATTTTGATTCTTACATTCACATTCTCGGATCTTTCATTTATAATAACCAAACAATGTCTTAGTAGTATGTCCTTCTGTTATGTAGATAATTCATAACCTTCCATTTGGAGGGAGGTTGCGTTACAGTATCAATCCCCTTTCCAACGACTTCAATTAATAATAGCTGGGCCGGAGGCAGTTAAGGCCTGGCACGAGCCCGACTTGAATCTGGCATGAAGAAGAATAGCCCAACCTCTACAAAAGTCTGGTTTTCAAAATCAGGCATAAGGCCGTGTTTGGCCCTATATATATATAAGTAAATTATAAATTAGCCTTCTTAGTTTTACAAAATGAATTGAATAATTTCTCTAATTTTACAAATTAATTATATTTTTTTATTAGTATTGACAATTTTTTATTAAATATTTCTTTGTTCAAAAAATATTTTATTTTTTAATCAATTTTTTCATATTATCTTTTTTTATTTCTTAAAATAAATAAATTGAAAAAGGAGATGAAATTGACAAAAGAAAAGATTAAGTTACAAATGGATTTAAAAACATACAGATTAATTACTTATTTTTTTAAACTAATGGATTTTTTAATTTATTTGTAAACTTAAAGAGACTAATTTATGGTTTTCTCATAAATTCTTTTTTTAAAAACCGTTATTAAGTCAATCTGCATATGATTTTAAGGAAGTATTTCCTATATCGATTTAATATTTTTTTTAAGAATTTAATAAATTTCTCCACATGCTGGCCCAAGGTTTGAATCCAATTTTTTTTTTAAAAAAAAAAATTTGCCTCTTGAACTTGAACAGTAAATAAATTATGGCATATCATAATGGACTTCGAATATAAGCAAATCAAGGTAGAAATGTTGCTTTTTACTATTTATAGAACAGAAAGTAGAATGTCACATATCCTGATATATGTTCAAATGTATCTACAAAAAATGGTTGAGATCGGAACTGACTGATGGATTTATAAAACAAACTCAAAGAAAATATAAATTACACTATGAAGAATATGTATTGTTTTAAAAAATTCCAGAAGTTTTCTTGGGCTCTCTTATTTTTCTTTTGAGTTGTATGATTAGCTTTCCAATATTCAGAAGAATAAAAAAACAAAATATACTTGGAAGAGAATCTTGACCATTTTTACCTCCACGGAAATTTAGCTATTCTGGATTGCTCATCTTTCCAATTAGTCATTTTTGGAGTCTTCCTCTCTTTTCTTAGTAGATTTGGAGCCTATCCGAGAGATGGGAGTCCGGTCCCTTCACCGATTTATGTCGTATTAACCTTTTCCAAAGTAAAGCACAGCACCTTGTTTATTATTGGTTCATCAGATGAGAGCCCCGACCTTTATCATATTCCATTAGCAGTGGGTACCACTCTCTGCTTTCCCCAAGCTCCATTATTGTACTTTCAGACAGCTTTTACTTCATTATCTAAAGCACCACGAAGGACTTCACTCGTAAGGATCTAAAAGGAGCAACTGTAGATCAAACTTAGTTTTCTTTTCCTCAACAGTGGGATGTTCTAAGATTAATTTTCACAAATGCTGCGCTCTCAAAAACTTTCTTTAATTTTACAAAATTGTTCCTTTTTCAAACTCGAATTAAAAGTGTAAGCAGCAGTCTGTTTACCATCCAAACCCAATCTCAAGATTCAATCTACTAAGATTCTTTTAAAAAAGAAAAAATCATTAGAGCTAGATTTAAGAGAATTTATTCATATGAATGCATCAAATCAATATAAAAATATGTATTTAAAAATCATCCCATAAGAAAATTTAGTCTCAATCAATGTATAAATTGATATGATAATGTTTCTAAGTGTCAGACAAAAAAAAAGGAATACATTTATCATATTATTATTTTTAGAAAATTGTACTAACTAATTTGATTATGATAACCTATGCGTAATTTTAATCTTATCAGAAAAATATTATCTAACACATCCCCTCAAGTGAAAGCTTTTTAGTTTTGAAACTTGGATATGCCCACTCTAACTTGTGCTTAATTAATTAGAAGAGAAAGAAAAAGTGGTAAGATTTGAACTCGTGACCGTTTGATCATTAAGGCTCGATCTCATGTTAAAGGACCATCACATTAAAAAACTTAAACTCGTTAGATAAAGCCTCAAGATATGATTTATATTATTCTTTAACAATAAACCCATTATGCACGAGCTTTGTTCAAAGCAGAATCAAAATAATAATGAAATAGTTATAACTCTATCTTGTAAAATATTTTTTTAGAAGTATTTTTATTCTTTACAAAGTAATGGCAAAGCCAAAAAGAAAAAAAATCTTTCCAAACACACCAATTTTTTTGAATATTCATATATGATGTAAAATGATAACTATTTATATATATATAAAAGCCTATCCATTTAAACCAGTTGGAATGATCTCTAAATATATTATATTTGAAAGAATGAGAAATTTTATAATAATAAAAAAATAGTTAGTATACATATAAATATACATATACATTAATTATTTTTTGAGTATTATATAATTTATCATATGCTTTGGAGATCACGTAAAAATGAGATTCAGTCTTAGGTAATGCATAAATTAGTACAAAAATATCTTTTACAGTGAAAAAAAAAAAAACCCTTGGTAAAAAATCATTTACAGTTCAGGCAACTGAATCCTAGAACACGTTATATAGGTATGTGTACAAAGGAAAAAGAAAAGCCACCTGCCTTCCAGTCTCTCCAATCTCCCTATTCTCCACCATTCTGTAAAACATGAGTTTTAGCATTGAAGAAGTTCGCGCTTTCAAATCCTGGAAATTATATGAAGTGACCCTCCACGATCGCGTGGTTGAAACCACCGTGACCTCGTCAGCCAAAGTGGCAGGTGGCTGGATCAACAATCACCTTCAAGCACCATGCCACCATCACAAAAAGATCGTTGGCCTAGACATTGAATGGCGTCCAAGCTTCACCAAAGGTGTCCAAAACCCTGTTGCAGTCCTTCAGCTATGCATCCGCAAGTGCTGCCTCATCTTCCAAATCTACCAGGCTTCTCACATTCCTCGTTCTCTTCGCAAGGCTCTCAAAAACCCCAACATCACTTACACTGGAGTTCGTATAAGTTGTGATGTAAAGAAGCTTTGCGGGGATTATGATTTGGAGGTATCATCTGCTGTAAATGTTGCTTGTTTGGCTGCTAATGAGTTCGAGGATAAGGAGTACAAGAAAGCAGGATTGAAGACTCTGGTGGAGGAAATTATTGGGGAAGAGATGGAGAAACCAAAGCATGTTGCTATGAGTAAATGGGATGCCAAGAATCTTTCTTTTGCTCAAGTCAAGTATGCTTGTGCTGATGCTTATTATTCATATAAATTGGGAAAGATACTGACTGATTTCTGACTCCTGAGCAACAATTTGATAGTATTATGGCTAAGATTGTGTAGGTAGTTTAGTGGCTAGTCATGTATGATGAGCTTGTGTTGGTAGCAGCAGCAGCAGCATGAATTTTAGTGGTCTGTGTTAGAAAGTACTGAAGACAAGGAAAGCGTCCGCTGCCTAATGATTGAGGCCAATGGCCATGTATTGCATATTTCTCGATGAAAACCAGTGGCTGTAATGACCTGCTTTGAAGAAGCTTCTAAAAATAAATCATGATCTGTATATTTTGTCTTGCAAATTGTGGCTTCAATACTTATTTTTCTTCATGTTTTGCAAGTGCCTGGGAATCATTGCTGCCACTGTTAAGTTATTCTGGAGGTGTCGTTTGATTATTAAGAATAAGAAATCTGAAATAGAAATACAAGAATCAGAATAAAAATTAAAAAATCGAAATGGTATTTGTATTTTCATATTATGTTTGAAACATTAATGAAGAATCGTAATGTAATTTAAATTTTTTAATATCTAATTTTTTACATAAATAAAAATAATGATTAAAAAATAATTTGGTGATGGTGGTGGTGATAGAAATAATTAATATATAATAAATAAATAAAATATATTATGATTTTGAAAAAAAAATATTCTCATTTCTTTTTTTTATTATTCTTACATTTTAAATGGGAATAAGTTGTGTGTAATTTTCATTCCTATTTTCGCTTAATTCCTTTCAACCAAAAAACTAAAAAGTAGGAATAAAACTTTCATTCTCATTCTCACCGTTTTATTTTTAATTACCAAATAGCATGTTAGTGTCATGACTTTAACCAGTTGATGATGCATGATAATGCCCTGTTTTTAGTGTGGTTTCAGGGGTTTTTATCCCACTATCATTCTGTTTAAGATATGGAGACCATCTAACCGCTGTTTACAAGATTGCTTTGTAATAGTATAGACTGCACTAACAAGCATTCTGAGTGTTTTGGCGAAGTAAGTTGCACAGCATTCTTATATGTATTTTTAATCATATAAAATGAAAAGTTCTAACCATTCATGTCATAATGGTAATAAGGCAATTTAAAACAATATAAAAATAGATTATTTTAAAAAATTTAGATAAATTTATTTTATAGTAATGAAAAATAAAATATTTTAGATCGATTTTTTATCAAATAGTAATAAGAAAAAAAAAACCAAATGATGACATCAACAAATAGCATTTAGTGCAAAACTGTAATTTAAAAGGATTATATTAAAAAAATTTAAAAAAAAATTGAGAAAAAAAGCCTGTGAAATTGAGTAACATAATATTGTTAATTAAATATTATTTGACACCATCAAACATTTTATTAAAAACATGTATAACAACTTTCAAATAAAATAATAATGTGGCATTTTTTTAAAAAAATTTTGGACGATAATAGTTTCCATCATTTGTTTTTGAGCTATAGTTTGTTTTTACATGATCAAACTTGTTAGATATTATTGGATAAAAAAATAATAAAATATTATATCGACATAAACGAATAGACTTAAAAAATTCTGTTCTAACTTGATACAACACAAAATGATAGAGACTTTATATACATAAAAATAATAAAATTTTAATGACAAATACAAAATAAAGATCACAAAAGGTAGACAAAAATAAAATAAAAATTCACTAAAAGCCAAAAAGGCATAAGAACAGTGAAACTAAAAAACATACTGTGCATAAGATAGAGGCAAAAATCACATGTAACAAAACTTTAATAATTAAAAAAAAATAAAAATCACATAAAAGAGATCAAAATGGAAAGAAAACTTTAGTTAAATGCCAAAAACAAGAGCTTAAGAATAGTAAAATTTTGGAGATTACATTATTTGTATATAGAAAGAAAAGTTTAATTTGGTCCCTTTCTGGTTTTTTGTTTTTGTTATTTTTCTATATTGATATTTGATATAAAAACTTGTAAAATCGTTTCACTTACACTCCTAAATATAATTAATTTCTCCCAAAAAATCGGATTATTTACTTAAATAATGGACACGCTAATTTACTCTAATAATGTATTAAAATCAAATCAAATACTTTATTTTTAATAATTCAATAAAATATTTTAAGAAAAAAATAAATACAAGAATAAAAATAAGCACAATAAGAATAATTTTAAAATAAAAGTATAATATAAGAATCCAAATGAAAAAACAACGAAAAGTTTGCGGCATGCAAGGCCAAAAATCACATGACTACAAATTCAATGACCAAAATAGAGATAAGATCACAAGATAGAAACCAAATAAAAAAAAAGATTTTTTTTGAATGGTCTGAATATGTAGACGCCAAAATCATCCAAAAGCAGTAAAAAAACATAAAATCATCCGATTGATGTTGTTTCAGCCCAAAAACACCTGCATCACAACACCAAACACAAATGTAGGTGCTTTTTTTTCCCCGCCTAGTATCAACTTGATGTGAATGAGTTGAGTTGAATCCAAAATCTCTAAACCCTATCACTATCTGGATTTAAAGTTTTAAAGCATTGCAATTTGCAAGAAGAGGTGCTAGTCAGCCAACAAACTTGAGAAATAACCCTAATTTCTGTGCAGTATAAAATAGCGAAGGAGTATACCAATTGTAATCATGTGCACTTGTCAATGAACTAGGAAAAGAAACAATCTGCGGAAAACAAAAAATGAAAAGGGAGCACTTCACATTTTAGCAAAGCATCCACTGATTAGCAACATTAAAATTCACTCTGCCCGGATAAGAATTTTATGCCATAAAATTCAGTAATCAGCTTATGCTAAATTAGCTTCCAAAAGAGCCAAATTATTACATGACTCTTGACAGTGGTACAAAGCTTTCTTTTTTCTAAGGGAAAAAAAGATACGAAAATATGAAAACCTATACTGTGAAATAAATAATGCCTGTCATATGAAGAATGTATACATTCTGGGCAACCAAACTTAGAAATTAATCTTCCATGAGAATGTTAAGTATGCTAGTCTCACTTGTTTTCATACACATGCTTGTCTAAGAAAGCTCTAGCCAGATTACTGAAGCTTACATTTACCGTTTCTGCTGCAGCATACCTCTTGATAACATCTATAACTTCAGGCTTCAGAATCTCTTCCTTGGTAGATGAGTTACAAAGATAATAGAGAGACCCAAGAGCATAATTAACCTGCAATCATCATACGGAACACTCTTACACAAATTAATACAAAAAACTGCATAATTATGGTTATAAATTCAGGGTCAGATATAGCTTTGAAGCATCCTAAAGAATCGATCCCAATAGTAGCATGATTTTCAGAAAGATCACAAAAATGTCAAAGTTATAAAACTGTACTATACGACATGCGAATTATTTACGCGCCCCGGGGGGGGGGGGGGGTGTTGGGGGTTGAGATTATTTAAGTTGTGTATTTAGGTACCAAGTTAAACCTTCAGGAGCAGTGAAACAAGTTATGTAGCAGGGAGGTGTAAAAATAAAGAAGCACAAGCTTTCCACTTACAGTGTTTCTAACTGGGCTTGATAAACATTGGATAATGAGGGGTATGCCACCGGACTGAGTGATGATTGCAGCATTTGCTGGATCTGCATGCCATAATTTACAAAAAAAATGTGTGTTTGTGTAATAAAAAAAAAATGAAAGGATGAAAAAGGAGGAGGCTATAAACGTGCAAAGCAAACAATCTTCACCAGCCTATATGCATGCAGTCAGTGATATTTTCAGTTCTTGCAGAAGGTACACTTTCCTGGACTTACCAACACAAGAATTGCATATTCCTCCAACCCCAAATTCCACAAGCTTCTCATTTGGTTCCGTCATGCAATCCAGGAAGAGTTCCAAAACATTGAGCTGCTTAGAACACATTCAAAAGATGTTACATGGAAGAAGTATGTGAAAGATAATTGGTTCATATTTATAACCAGATAACTACAAAATCAAAGCTATTAACCTGGCGCAAGAATGTATAGTTATAGGGATCATAAGCAAAGTTTGCCAAGTTAGCAACTATCCTCTCTTTTGTTTCTGCAACCACAAGAAAACAAAAGATCTGTAAAAATTGCAAAGGTCAGGCTAGGTTTCAATGGGTTAGTCTCATTATAAGACATTGTGTCAAGTGAAATTTGCAAAACCAAAGACAGTATTGGAACTGGACTACCATTACACAGACACACATGTAAAGCATAATCTCCACCCTCATAGCCCCCTACCCTTCCTCACAACGATAAAGAAAACACTCAGGTTCTGAAAAATATACCACGGTAATAGAAGATGTTACAAAATTTCAACTGAAAAAAAAATTACAGCTCTGAGCTCTGTTACAGAAATAAAATGAAATAGCTCTTTTCTTCTTCTTTTGGTGAAACAATAAAATGGATTGAAACAGATAATTTACAGAAAACGTAATTGCACAAATAAAATGTTGATAAAGTCAAGTACCAGACTCAAGAGTAATCACATCCTTCATCAAGCTTGTTTCTCAAGGAACAAAGACTGAAAATTGAAGGTGTCTATGGGATTATGCTTAAATTTAGGCAAACCTCAACATGAGTCTTTTCAAGAAGGAAATATAAGAAAACTAGGTGGGAGAAGAAGTAAGAAATCAACAAAGAGAAATGTTCTGCCAAGCTTAATGTATTCATGTCAGCATAAATTAAAAAGAAGGCTGGGTAAACAATTCTTATTCTCAGACACGTAAGCAACAGGCATGACACAGAAAAAATAGAAAGAAGCATGTGCTCTGCTCCCACCTAAGTTTCTCTCTTTCCTTAGATTGTACATCCCATGGCTATAAAATGAACCTATATTGTGCAACATTACTCTAGAGAGCAGGGTTAATCTAACCGCAAATGCTCAGATGATGAATTTAAGATGCATTATTGCTACATATGAAATGATGTGGAAACTGTCTACAACCATGCAATACAGAGATATCAGTTTGGTATTTGAAGATGTGCTGGCTTTAAAAATTACAACTCAATCATGAGGTGGAAGATTTTCGCAATCGACAAGTGTTATTAGGCATACAAAATGCATGAGCTTTAATAATCTGATCAAGCTAAGGAATTAGTTCACTGCCAGCAGCACTTAAGTCAAGTAAAAAGCATGAACTTTAAAGTAGAGAAACTAGTAACAAATTCAACAGTAATCACATTCTTCATCAAGCTCCCATCTTGAGGAATAAAGCCTGAAAATTGAAGGTGTCTATGGGTTTAAGCTTGATTTTTCCAAACCTCTCAGGAGTCTTTTCAAGAAGGAAAGGTAAGAAAACTTCAGTAGGGGAGAAAATTAGAATTCAACAAGGAGAAATGTTCTGCTAAGCTTGATCTACTCACACCAGTACAAATAAAAAAGGCTGGATACAAAACATCAACACTATCACTCTCTGACACATAAGCAACGGGTACAACACAGAAAAAAGGAGAGATGGAAGCATGTCCTCTGCTTCCCACCAATTTCCTATATTTGCTTAGACTGCATTTGCACAGCTATACAATGAACCTAGATTGTGTAACATTACTCTTGAGTGGCAGCAGAGTTGCTGCCACCACAAAAGGCTCCATTTCATACAAAAACAAAGGATAGATGCAGAACGCAAATGAAGGCTTTAGGATGCATAATAGCTACAAATGGAATGATATAGTAAGCTGCATTCTACATCCATGTAGTACATAGACATCAGCTTAGCATCTGAAGACGGGCTTTGCAAATTATAATTCAATCATGTAATGGAAGATTTTCGAAATCGTCAAGGGTTATTAGACAAGTAAAAAGCACGAACTTCAATAATCTGATCAAACTAAGGGATTAATTCCTAGCCAAAAGCACATAAACAAAGTAAAAAGCATAAACTTCAATATCTGATCAAGCTTGGGAATTAATGATTGATTTAACTTCGCCTTTAAATTAGTTAGAATACAAATATAGAATAACCTAACCATATAAACACCAGAAGTGAAATTAAAAAAGAACAGCAAAGAAATGTACCTTCATCGTTTGCATTCTGAAACTTGGTCACCAACTCCTGTAATTGAAAAAAAAAGATCTTTTTCATTAGCTGGATTATTATTATTATTATATGATACAAACAAGTCAACTTTAGCACGAAAAAAAGAAAAAGAAAATACACAAAAGCTATCAAGAAAAGGAAGAACGAATACCTGAAGGTATTGGAGTCTTGGGGTTCCATATTTTCCAGTTCTTTCTTCTTGTCTCTGACTATTCGTGAACATCTCTGTTGTCTTTGTCAAATCAAAGTAACTTTACTGCTCCCTCGTAGCCATGACTTGCCTTCCTTGTGTCTCACTGATCCCCCGCCTGGGTTTGGGGGCTTTACGGGATTTTAAATAGAGTCCTTGTGCTTGGTCAGTAAAACCCATTTGGTCTGATTAACTTTCCTTTTCCTAAAATAAGAAAAAATTGTTACTCCAATACCCATTTGATCGGAGTAACATCTAAACCCTTTTTATTTGACGAAAAATAACTTTTAATAAAAAAAAAAAAAATTTGAGAAAGCTATTTTTTAAGAATTTTTTTTAAAAACATATTTTTTTAACGCTTCACAATTACATAAAAAATTATTAAAAAATATATTTCGAGTGTTTGTTTAATATAGTAAACTGAAATACAAAAATAAACGATGATTATCATATGAATGAGTTTTGAGAGAATTTCAATAAGGTATGTTCACAATCTCACAATATAAGATATATTTTAAAAACTTTAATAAATTTTTATAAATACTAATTCTAAGATTTAAATTGAAAAAATCAAAAAATAAAATGTACTTTTTAACTATCAAACTAATTCATCAAAACTACTTGTGGCAAAATCAAGTCTATATTCACATTTAGTAAAAAAATTTCTAAGTAATCCTAGCATTGTTATTTCGGTAACTCAATTAAGAATTCTTTTTTTTTTTTTTTTTGAAAATTGAATTGATAATTTAGTCTAAAAAATAGTTTTACAAATTATTAATTATCGTTTGTAGATAATTATTCATTTGGTTTCAAAAACTTAATATTGAAATAATTTGTAACTAATTATTGACAACAATTACTAACAAAATTTTACAACCGATTAAAATTAGTCATATATTATTGATATAGTTGCAAATGAATTATGTTAGGAAAATAATATATTTATTAATAAATTAATTAGTTTCAAATGATTATAGTCTTGTAATTATTATTTCCAATCATTTAAATATGATTTAGGTAGTGTTTGGGATAATGGTAAAAAAATAGAGATAAATTATTGAAATATTTATTATAAAAATAATTTTAAGGTGTAAAAATAGTTTTTAATAATATTTAATGTATTTATAAATAAAAAAACCAAATATTAGTAGAAATAGAAAAAAAAATTAATCAATAATAATTGATAAGAAATAATTAAAAATTAATTTGATATATTTTAAATCAAAAGAAGATATAGAAAAAAATTGTTAAAATATATCGAGAGAAAGGTGAGTAAAGCGAGAGCAAGACAACTCATAACGGAGAGAAAATGTTTTCCTCTTTTTTAACTCGGAAAACACTTTCCCAAAAATAGCCTACAAATTCCGTTTACTTTTTTCCTAAATGTGAAATAAACATCGAAAAATGAGAAAAAAATAGAGAAAACACGTTCCTAAAACTTATTTTTTTCAAAACAAACACGACCTTAGTATTTTTACTTTTCGAATGAATACATTCTCATACTTTTTGAATCTTTTTATCGAAAAAAAAAACTTAATCCTTCCATCATCAATATTCAATTATGATATTGTAAAAGTGATATTTGTTTCAAATTATACTTAACTTTATATTAATGTAATGATTTTTTTTTTCATATATAAACTTTCTGCTATTCAATTTTTTTTATTAAGACTTTATACTTTTTTTTAACTTAATTGAGGCTATTTGTTTTCTAGATTTTTTGTTTCAAATATTTCGTTATGACGTCGTTTATTTTTTATTTGACATGATACATTATAATTAGATTTTACCTATTAGTGATTGACATGTGACGTTGTACGTTTTTTAAAAAAATTCATCCGAATAAAAAAATTGAGCTTTTTTTAATAATAAGATAATAAAAAAATAAAAAAGACAAAAATCTCCTACCCCAATTATTTTTCCAACTCATTTTTTCCTTCGAAACTCATTCCCCCTCCCCTTTTTCCTTACCCCACCCGACCCTTTACTATTTATGTATCTAATGAGGGCTGGTTCATTGCTAAGGACTCGTTGTAGGGTTTTCTTGAAGATAAAGGCAAAAAGGAAAGAAAAAACAAGAAGGATAGAAAGAGAAGAGTAATTATGGAGAAAAAGATAGAATTTTTATATTTCATTCATATGTCAATACCATTTTGTTACATAATACATATATAATAGATGTAGGTATTGTTCGTTCTAGTATTCAACTAATAAAAGACCCGACCCACTACTAACTACTAGTCCAACTCGTCATAACTAACAAGCTTATAGTCTAATCATCTACGACTAAAAGCTTAACCAATTATAATAAACTGATAACAATGATAATGAAAGCCCCAATTCAGCTCAACCTTAATTAGAATAAATCCTCAATTTAGTTCAAAAGCATCTTGCTCTCATGCTCCTTTCATCACTCGCTAAATTCATGTATCGACTACCTCTCTTCATCTAAAATTCCATTTTCCTTAAGGGAAAAAGATAGGAAATGGTAAATAAAAAGATAATAAATGGTGAATAATTTCATCTATAAACTCCTAAATTACCCGAGTAGGAAAGAGATCTTGTTTGTGAATCAATTACTAGACCACTACTTGATTGTGTTTTTCGGTAATGTGTTTGTCAATAATGGCCATCGATTGAGGTTGGTAGCTAACAAGAAGGGTGGCTAAGTCCTTCCGGATTGTATGCGTTCGATGGCCTCTTTGAAGAAGGGAAACATAAAAGACTGGGTGAATCAAAGCCGATGTGGGTAGTTTCAAACAATATGAAACGACCTCCACTCTATCTTTAACCAAGAAAAAGCCATGATGGTGGACAAAGAGTTATGAAATTTGTGTTTGGCCGGTGAGTGTTATTTGTAAGGCTAAAACTTTAGGTATATCCAGATCACTAGTTCTAAATTAATGCTAGTTATGTGCCTATTTGCTAACCGACGTATACGATTCTATACCCAAAAGAGATTGTGCTTGAGCTAGGCTAACAAAACTTTCTTGTTATTGAGGTACATATCAACTGCTTCCATATAAAAGTCCTTGAGAATGTATGTTTAATGGATTAAAGGTCCGAACCAATAAAGTGTTTTGAAAGATATCAACTTGGTAGATGAATGAAAATTTGTATTATACCATCATTCATCCGAAGGTAGCCACAATTTGACCATTCAATAAGTGTGTTTCCTACCATATACCGAAGTTAGGTTTTTAGGCAACGATTAACCACTTTCGTTTGACCATATGATCGGGAATGGTAAGTTGTAAAATAATACGAGTCAACTCCTTGTAAGGTAAATAGTTCCTTCTAGAATTATTCAAGAATATTATGTCTATATCATTCATGATGGTGGTTAATAACCTATATAGTTTGAAGATGGTGTCAAGAAATAATTGAGCTACCACTTCGTTTGACCATACTAAAATTCGTAATCGTATAAGTGTACGTATCAAGATATTTATATTCGTACGTATATATATAATATATCGATTACGTACGTGAAAATCCGTAACTAGATCAACATATGTACTTGGAATATGCGGTATTTACGTTTTGTTGAGAATAACGGGTGTACGTATAAAAAAAAACATTGGGTAAATTAGTTACAAAATTTATTTTATATGGAATAAGTATAGATTATATATATATATAAAAAAAGAAGGAAAGTGCTAATTGTCGAAATTTCGGTAGGAATTCTGAAAATGTAGTTAATTGAATTACCCTTATTTAATCACATTTTGACCCCTACTTTTTACAAATTTCCATTGACCATCACCTTGAAATTTACACCCATCATTTCATTAATTTCAGCCACATTTACCTTGCATTTCACCACAAGCTTTTGACACTTGTAATGAACATTGAATTGATGAGATTAGGTGAGATATTTAAGTAAGAAAAAATGGGATAAGGATGCATTTTGGTGCATCCCGTAGCTGCCTTAAAACCAAGAAAGAAAGAGTCAAAGAGAGGGGAGAAAGAGGAAAAAGGGAAGGAAAAAGAAGGGGAAACTAAAAGGAAACAAAAGAGATTTTAGGAAAGTTAATCCAAAGTAAGTAGGTTTCATTTTTTTTCTTGCTTTGTTTATGCTTTCCTTGTTTATTTCATGAGTTATTTAATTCATGTGAAATGTGATTATGGTATTTGTGATAATTTTAAACACTTGATGTTTGATGATGGATGGTTAAGCATGTGTGTTGAGAAATGTGCTTTAAGAGAAGATTTTCGGATTTTAGGGGTGGAAAAACCAGAACTTGGTGTGATTTATTTCGGCATCTTAGAGTGATTTTTAGAAAACATACAAAGCATGAAAGTTGTTGATATAGGTGTCTACTATGTTCCTTTAAAATTTCGTGACTTTTAGAGATATATATATGGAGTTATGACTGAATTAGTATGGATCGTTCGGATGGAACCTCTACTGGAAAAATATTTCATTCCGAAAGTTGTGCGATTTATTTCGGGATCATAGAGTGGTTTTTGGGCAGAACTCAAAGACGGAAAGTTGTTCATCTATGTGTCTACTTTATATATCTAAAATTTCATGATTTTTAGATCTGTATGTAAGGATTTATGACGGATTTGGTATGGGTCGTTGAATGGACCAGCTACTGGAAAAGTTTATTTAGTTCCGAAAATTGTGTGAATTATTTAAGGATTTTAGAATGATTTTTGGAGGAAACTTAAAAAATGAAAGTTGTTGATCTATATGTCTAATATCTCCCCTTAAACTTTCGTGAGTTTTAGATATATATTTAAGGAGTTATGGCTGGTTTGGTATAGGTTGTTTAAGTGTGCCACTGCTGGAAAATTTTAACCTAAAATAAATGGGCTTGACTAATATTAATGGGCTTGGACTTGAGTTAAAATGAGATGGGCTTGGATTAAAATAAATGGACATGGACTAATGTTAATGGGCTTGGACTTGAATTAAAATAAGATGGTCTTGGATTTAAAAATAAAGTGGACTTAGATTAAAACAAATGGACTTGGGCTTGGATTAAAATAAATGGGCATGGACTAATGTTAATGGGCTTGGACTT